GACCAAAGTGCAGTGCTGAGCCATTTTTCAGGGCTCCTTTTATGCAGATAATTTACATCCTTGTTTGCTCAGGGGTGGAAAGTCCCTGCAGGTGTAAACCAAGTGGGAAGTTACAGAAGCTAAACAATGCTTTAAGCAAGCATGATCCCTTTCTTTCTAAGACCTGTTTCTATGACCTGTTTTTATGGTACACTGAGTACATTTTTCCAACCCTCAAGGAACTAGTCCCACGGGTGGGGGTACTTTCAAAATGGAGTAATATCAAGCAGAACCAAGGAGTTCTATTACATTGCATAAGAAATAACAATGGCACCAGCTTCCCTAAATAGCAACAGAACCTCAAAGACAATGAATAAAACAATGCTTTGGAATTCTGACTGAAAAGGATTTTCAAACTTAGTCTTACCCAGTCAAATGATCAAACAGGAAGGTAGGGTAAAGACAGTGTCAATGGGATGGCTCAAAAATCTCTCTTCTTCCTAGGACTTGGGAAACCGAGGCAGATGGATCATGAGTTCAAGTCTATATAGTGAAACCCTGTCTCCAAAAGAAAAAGAGAAAGAATGCCTATTTCTGAAAAGCTGTTACCATTCAAGCATATACAAATGTAGAGGACATGAACAGATTACCCCACACTCTATATTTTCCACAGTCTACTCATTTGCTGCTTCCTCTTGAAACTTTCTGAAGACACACTCTCTTAATCTAGACAGAGTACACACCCAAAGTGGAAGCATAGCATCCAGAAAATAACAATATGGGGAAAAAAGAAGAAGAAAACACCAAGCTGGGTGCTGGTTGCTCATTCCTGTAATCCTAGCTACTCAGGAAGCTGAGATCTGAAGATAGTGGTTCAAAGCCAGCTAGGCAGGAAAGACCACGACATTCTGATTTCTAAATAACCAACAAAATGCCAGCACCTGAGTTCAAGCCTTAGCACTAGCACCAAAAACAAATGAATTTATTAATGGAAACGGAATTCTAAGGTGGCAATGATGCATCATACAAAATAATAAACAACATACAAAAAATTGTAGAAAAGCATGAATATAAACAATTATTATACCACATTTGCCTGTGCAGGAAATTAGACTAAGAATTTTATAGATGCATTTTATGATGCTTTAAGTTTCTAACAAATTTTAACAAATAAAACATAAGTAATCAAAAATTAAAGTCCAAGAAAAACAAAATGCTGTTATCAAAATCCCTAAAACCAAACAAAGGCTGGGTGTTAGTGGCTCGTACCAGGTGCCGGCAGTTAACACCTTTAATCCTAGCTACTCAAGAGGCTGTGTTCTGAGGATAAAGCCAGCTTTTTGTGAAACTCTGATCTCCAATCACCAAAAAGCCTAAAGTAGAGCTGTAGCTTAAGTGGTAGAATGCTAGCCTTGAGCAAAAAAAGCTTAGGGACAGAACAAAGGCCTTGAGTTCAAGCCCCAGGACCAAAAAAACAAAGCAAACAAAAAAAAAACCCACTATATACACAAGGAATTGCACTTGGCTCAATAATATTCAGTATTTTTCGGGCTGGGAAGGTGGCTCAGTGGTAGAGCGCTTGCCTTGTATGCCTGAGGCCCTGGGTTCAATTCCTCAGCACCACATAAGCAAAAAGA